CGACTTCGAACTTCATCAATGCAGGTTGTTGATGCCAAATAACTTCACGTTTTGACATCTAACTCAATACTCATTGTCATATTCGGCAGTCCGTTTCAGTCATTTTATCTCTTTACTTTTAATAATGAGTCGAAGCGTTTTTATCAATAGTATGAAAAACAGTTAAATTGGTATGTTTCTGAACAAGTGAAGAGTTGATCATTTTCGCAGCTCGGTAAATATTTCATAACCAATCGACTTTTCCTTCATAACATATTTAATACTGCTTTCTTTTGTTCCAGGATGCATTATTTGCGATATACCTACTCAAGAACCAATAACATGAGTGTGATATGAAAGAAATGATACGGATATAATTTTATTTTCAAATTATAATTCGTAACTCAGGGTTTAAATTGAATATTTTTCGAGTTCCTTCAAATTGAGTATAAAGAAGATTTTTTAATATTGAGAAGGATTGCGCGTTTTCAGTTGGCTTGTTTCCTGACAACATATTTATTCTCTCTAATCTTCTCTTAATGGCCATAGAGGAGAATTTCGCTTTCTATTTAATTGTTTTAGTTTGTAATTCAGCCAACTTAAAACGTAATATCTGAGATATATCTAGAAGTATTATTTTGAAATGTGATGTATTTTTTAGAATTTTTGTTTTGTAATGGCATAATGTGTGTACCTGCTAGTGTGTGGCATGTTTGTAATTAGCATGTCGTTTACAGTAACCTTAATAAATGTATGTAGTATTACCGTAGAACTATAGCAATTAATAATTTAATTAAATAAACGGAAACATTAAAGCATATCCTAATATTTTTATCCTATACGCTGTGTGTGTGTGTGTGTGTGTTTTTAGATTGAGCGTAGCTAACCAAGAAACCCAAATCGAAATCTAACATGTAATGCTGTTTTTTTGGTGTTTTATAATAACTTATATCTGTTGAAACCACACTACTGTGAAGCAAACAATAGGTAGAGTACTAACCATTAAAAAGCTCGTCCTTGAATATCAGTGTACCATAATTATTATAGTCGTGGTTGTTGCGTTTATTATAAAATTGAGTCCTATTGAAGTATATATGTTTAACGTACCAGTTTAGGAACAATCTTAAAGCTAGATAACTCCAGGAAATCGCAAATTGAACTTAAGTGACAGTCTGCTTTTTCATCGAATTATTATCATCACTCCAAAGCATGATCATTTTTGTATCTTCATTGACCATCCAATGCATATTGGAGCGCGATAACGACATATTGAAAATTCGAAAAAAAATCAATATTTCATAATTGCCGAAATAATAAACCGAAAGCATTCAGTGCTGCGTTGAGAAAATTTTCGAATTATCCTAAATTTTAATCAAGTTTCTTCTATATGTATATATTCCATTAATTAACACTAATGCATTTATTAACAGTAGAATTGTGCTTTAAAGTTGATATACTCCAACTAACGATTCAAGAAACTTGTACAAAAAGCATGTCACTAAGCAATATGTTTGTTTTGCAGAATATGTATTTACAAACGAAGAACTCAGCACACGTCATTCTTGAACGGACGAAGACCGTCAAGTACGAAATATACGGAACTGAGAAATATAAGCAAGAAAGCAAATGCGAGGTAAGTCAACTCGGTATGATCGGGCGCGCAACTGTAAATGTTCATTTCGTAGCTTATTTTGTGCCATACTGTAAAGTGTGATCCGGTAACTTGGTAATTTTGTTATTTTCCAATTCGAACATTAACGATCTCCTTCGCTAACACTCGTATTTGCCATTACTATAGGTGCACACCATGACTAGCCAATTTTTTTACAATCATTATCTAATAAATGTTTTTTTCGTTATTAGTTGCTAATGCGAAGAAAGCTTCCAAAGTGTCGCCCAATTTTTCAATTTACTATAGCAAGTGTACTACAATATATTTGTGATATTTTTTTTACATACAATTATAATAAAATTGTTAGTCTTGACAACGGCCTAAAGTATTTTTCGCAAATGGCATGTATATATGATGCAGGAGCTTATTACATAATAATATAAAATCAGTTGTGTTTGTTATATCGTTTATATTCCGATATATGTGCAGTTGAAAGCTACGAACATAGTTAATTACTGTCTTTAAAAACAAGTAAAGTAAACTAAAATTATATTTAGTAAACTACTTGTATTATCTAGGCCATCTCTTGCATCATAGAACTTTTTACAATTTGAATTACTTACTTATATATAGGTAATGCAACGTGATCTTTCCACTACGCAAAACTGATTAAAGTTGCAGTGCTCATTAGTGTTAGTTAGTTAGGTAATTACCATAATGTGAATATGAATTTCCTAGCGTATTTGTTTAATGTTTACTAATCAAGTGCATATATGCATCACATTTATATTTTGTGGAAGACATTTTAGTATTCTCCGTATAATAAATAAATCCCGCTTTCTGAATCTGGTGCTATTGTAGCCATACAGGGTGATTCAAAATTGGCGTCATTCCTTTTAAGGGGTGATGAAGGCTCACTTGGGGAGTACGAGAAAAATATTGAAAATTTTTTTTTCGAAAATTTCTAGCTATTAACAGTTAAAGATCGAATTTCAACTTTGCTATTAAGCATTATTTTGAAATTGTTCCATGTTTAATTGGTAGCATATTGGAATACTTAAGCATTCATTCATTCGTTCTGTTCTACAATTTTTTGATGAAAAGGCACAGCGGCAATGATGTTTTTTGCTATTAACAGATAGTTACAGGTGGATAGCCCTTGTCAATAATAACAATAATCTGTCAAACTGTGACTTACTTTGAATTTTCTTTCACGAATTTGCGG